AGCAATCGCTCGGGATGCCCTAAGTCATGTCCGAGACCAGCAGGGAGTTCTCCGAATGGGATCCCACTATAGGGAGGCGTCGAGCCCCCGAGGCCGATCGAACAGCCCTGGGACCCACTAGAGAAGCCCTCTGGTACTTTTGGAGTGCGTCTCTAGACCGCTAGCCGACCCCTATTGAATGGGGCACGGGACTCCACTCGGACTTACCCGATAACAGCTCACCGGAAGTGTCACCGCTCGCGCCCACCGAGGGTAGCCTGACATATTCCACCCCTCCTTCCAAACGAAAAGGATGCGCGAGGGTCGCATAAAAAGCCAGGGGAACTCCTGATCGCCCTCTCGCTCCGTGCGGAGGCTCGAGGACTCTTCCTGCAAACTTGCCGAGACCCAGCGACCCAGGCTCGCACTCGATGGGCTCGACAAACAACCCCTCCTTCCGAACGAAAAGGATGCGTGAGGGTCGCATAAAAAGCTAGGAGAACTCCTGATCGCCCTCTCGCTCTGTGCAGAGGCTCGGGGGCTCTTCCTGCAAACTTGCCGAGACCAAGTGACCCAGGCTCGCACTCGATGGGCTCGGCAAACAACCCCTCCTTCTGAACGAAAAGGATGCGTGAGGGTCGCATAAAAAGCCAGGGGAACTCCTGACCGCCCTCTCGCTCCGTGTGGAGGCTCGGGGGCTCTTCCTGCACCCAGAACGAAAACAAGCCACTCAAGCTCGCACTCGGAGGTTTGGAAAAACATGACAAAAAGGGCACCGAGCCCGTTACGGTCCAGGGGTTCAAAGGTTGGGCCCCCAAAGGTTTCGACAGCCGCCCCAGGACAACAGAGTCAGGGATGACTGTGGGCAAGCCCGAACATGGCCAAAAGCCCAAGCAAGCAAATGCTTGGGAAGCCCTAAGTCATGTCCGAGACCAGCAGGGAGGTCTCCGAATGGGATCCCACCGTAGGGAGGCGCTGAGTCCCCGGGGCCGATCGAACGGCCCTGTGACCCACTAGAGAAGCCCTCTGGTACTTTTGGAGTGCGTCTCTAGACCGCTAGCCGACCCCTATCGATAGCAGCTCACCGGAGATGTCACTGCTCGCGCCCACCGAGGGTAGCTTGGCATGCTTCACCCCTCCTTCCGAGCGAAAAGGATGCGTGAGGGCCGCCAAAAAAGATAGGGAAACCACTGATCGCTCTCTCGCTCCGTGTAGAGGCTCGGGGGCTCTTCCTGCAACTAGGCCAAGTCCCAGCGACTCGAACTCGCACTCATGGGCCCGACAAACGTGATAAAATTCCTCGCTCAACAGGGACAAAGCTCCTGGAGGAGTAAATCCACTCCTCCAGGGCCTCGGGGGCTACACCCGGTGGGTGCGCTCGCGCGCACCCACCGGAACCACGAGAACAAAACACAATCCCGACAGGAGCCACTACAAGACAAAATCTCGACAAAGCCTCAGGGAGAGTGCTCGCACTCTCCCCGAGGCTCGGGGGCTACTGTCGGATACCATAAAAGGGGATACCCTAAGCAAGAACCGAAAAGAGTCCTTAGGCCTCGCTTATATCAATGCCAAAGGACGATCACAGGGTCTCGGCCGATTCTCCGACTTGCCCAAGGCCCGCGCCGCAACGACTCTCTACCTCGCCGAGGCCCTCTCGCCCGAGGCCTGGCCCCTCAAGGCCTCGGACAGGTTACCGATTCTCCGATTCGCCCGAGGCCGGCTCGGCAACAACCTCATCGCCTCCGTCTCGACCGACTTCTCTGACAAAGCGTCGTGTCCAGTTAATGCTCCCAACCACTCCCGCAACGTCAGCCGCACGTCGGCGCAGTACCGTAGAGTGACCGACGGGACGGGAGACATGACTGAGTAGGGATTATGTGCCACTGTGCTCAGCACTGTACCCATGACTGGCGGCCGTACTATGCTGTGCTACCTAATACCTGCTCCAGGAACAGCGTGGCATGGGGAGTCCAGTCCGGGTCACTATAGCCTCGGAATCAGTGTATAGGACCGACTGCTCCCTCCAAGCCTCGGCAATCCACTTCAGGGGCTCGGCAGCCTCGGATTCACGCCCGCCGAGCCCCCCGCGACGGCTCGGCCTCGGCACCAACTGAGCCTCGGCTCTTTACACCGTCAACGCACAGCGACCAGCACATCGTCGGCCATGCCCTGTGTCAAGCTATCACTGGAGCGCCCACGTCGTACAAGATCAGGTGTGACCGGCGCGTTGCTCCAGTACATCAAGGACAAGACCATTTTGTTGACCATGCCGCCACAGTAGCAAGCTACCGGACTCAGACACGCCACCTCCGCTCACGAGACGCTACATAGCAAACGCATGTATCGCCCCCGTCCCCCCTTCAACTATAAAAGGAGAGGCCGGGGCCGTTTCTAGAGGGGGACAAAAAAAATCAGACGAGCATTCGCATAAGCTCTCGTAGACTCAGACACGCTCCCCCGCTGCCTGAGAGCAACGTCTCAAGCAGCCCGCACCACTCCACACAGAGACCTGGGGCTAGTTCCCTCTCTCGCCCAGCTTGTAACCCCCTACTACAAGCACTTCGGTGCAAGAAATACAAGATCGATCTCTCAGACTGGACGTAGGGCTTCGATTGCCTGAACCAGTATAAACCTTGTGTCTCTTTGCATCACCATCCGGGATTAGGGGCATGCAGTTCAAATTCACTGGTTGGTTGAGGACCCCCCGGTCCGAAACACCGACAGAAGGACACCAAAAGTGCACTCAATATCTTTATGAACTTTTTCCTGCTCCTTAGCAAAGTGTGCTGCCTTCATATTCAGGGGATGGGAAACGGTCTTCACAAAAGCCGGGCAATTGGGGTATATACCATCAGCAAGATAATAACCCATGCCATACGTGTGACCATTGATGGTGAATGATACCGGAGCTGCTTGGCCTTTCAAATATGCGGAGAAGACGAGCGACTTTTGAAGGACATTAATATCATTGCAGCTGCCTGGCATGCCGAAATAGGCATGCCATATCCAAAGGTCATGCGAAGCTACTGCCTCAAGTATCATGGATGGATGCTAACCACGCTTTGTGAACATGCCTTTATATGCCGAGGGGCAATTGCGCCACTCCCAGTGCATACAATCAATTCTTCCCAACATTCCCGGAAATCCATGTTGCTCTCCAATTCTGAGAAGCCGTGCTACATCTTCCGCGTTCGGAGCACGTAGGTAGTACTCCCCGAATACAGAAATGATAGCCCGACAAAAATGGTGGAGAGCCTTATGAGCAGTTGACTCACCAATACGGACATACTCATCTACAGCATCAGCAGGTAGACCATATGCAAGAATGCGAATAGCAGCAACTGCCTTTTGTAAACCACTGAGCCCAAGACGGCCAATGGCATCCTCCTTTTGCTTGAAGTAGGAGTCTGCACCTTCAATCGCTTCGACAAGGCGCTCAAACACATGGACGCGCATTCGAAACCTGCACACAAAGATAAGGTCTGTCAATGTACTGCAAAGTAACACATGAAGCAATCCATGACTACCAAATTATAGAAACACACCGTCGACGGAACTGGAACGCCGAGTAAACAGGATTGGGACCAAAGTAGTCAGCACGGATCCTCGCATCCCCGACCGCATGATCCCTCTGTCGTATCTGCTTTGGTGGACCATCGGAACGACATCTACGACGAGAGGGTCCAGCATTCTCAAGCTCGAACGACTCTAGTACCTCCAAGTCGTCGTCATCAACAATCAAATGAAAATCATCTTCGTCCTCCTCTTCCTCTATCACCCACGTTCTACATATGGAAGAACCAAAATAGCCTGCCATGGCCATGGAGGGAACAGGCGACGGGGGTGGACAGAACAGGACCTCGATAGAGTGGAAGGAACAGACAACGAACCCTAGCAGCTAGCCATGCCGAGATCAAATCCGGCTATTTGGGCTGCCAGATGAGGCATATGATAGCTCAAATGGATGCTTCTAGGCCATGGCCACTTGTAGCTACAAGGAATCGACAAGGAGCTCATCGGACAGGAAGGAGACGGCGGCGCAGTCCACGCTCGGTGGCGGCAGCGGCATGTTCGTTTGTTCGTTGAGTTGGGGATCGAAATACAGACGGCTGGCAGCAGCGTTCCAAGGTGAGCGACCTGTGCAGGCCGATGGGCCATGTGGGCCATGCCCTGTTTAAAGGCTGCTTTAGCGGAGGAGCGGTGCTCTTAGCGTAAGGGTTGGGCACCTACCATGGCTCCAGATGTCTGGATGGATGCTTTGCTTCCGCATCATAATTGGTTCTTGGCTCTGGACTCTGCCGGAATGTGAAGCTGCAAGTTCAGCGATGCTAACGATTTGGGGCCTGAGATGACTTATTTCCTCCATCATTTGGGCACCGGCTGGTTGGAGCCGATCTGTTATCGGCGTACAAGCGCATAGCGTAAGCAGAGGTTATCAACCCAGTGCCTGCAACTGCAGACGCCTCAAGAATATCCATGGCGCATCCGTGCAAGAAACCAGTTGGCGCTCGCATGCTGATGCCGGGCCCGTGCAGGCATGATCTACCTGCCGTGAGCCCACGGCCTGCTGCTCGCTAACTTCGCCGGCAAGGTAGAAGTCGACCACAAGTTTCAAACTTTCAATTGAACTTGTCTTCCGTTGTGCTCCATTCCGTGACCGTCACCTATTCGGAACTCCGACGCTCTCTAGACGTTATGATGATTCCTTGCGATGCGTATTCTGACTAGGTGGACCCTCTGTGGCCGACATGAAGGGCCCACCACCCACCGTTATATGAAACGCTGCAACACGCCACGCATCACAGGCGGTGTGCCGTTGTCTTCGTCTCTCGTTCTCCCCCCTGTTTTAAATCGGAACGCGACACCACAATCCCACCGGCCACAACCCAGACCACGCCGCCGCCACCGCGCTGCTCGCCGCTTTCCCAACGTTTTAACCCCCACGAGCAGACCGAAGCACACCACACCGCCTCCCATCTCCTCCGTCGCTCTCGAATCCCACCGCCGTGCTCAGCGCGATGGACGGCTCATCCAAGCGGATCGGCGGTGGCGGCGCCGACAAGCCCAGCCCCGACCACGACCAGAACCAGAACGCCAGCCCCAACGTCCCGGCGTCCGCCTCCGGAGACGACGGCGCCTCGGCCGCGCCGCCCGCCGTTGGGAGGCGGCCGTTCACTAGCCTCAGCCAGGAGGAGGCCGACCTCGCCCTCGCCCGCGTCCTCCAGGAGCAGGTAAGTGCCGGAGATCTTGCGGGGTCGGTTGCGCCCGAATCGGTCCCCATGGGGGTAGCCGGGTAGGGGCTTGCTACGAGACTTCGCCGCTGATTCCTCGTGCTTTCTGCAGGAGCGGGCGTACATGATGCTGACCGGCGGCGAGTACGCGATCTCGGACGCCGGGAGCTACGACTACGACGACGAGGAGGGGGAAGATGACGATGGGAGCGACTACGAGGAGGAAGGGGAGGCGCTCGACGAGGACGAGCAGGTTGGGGACGCGGAGGCGGAGGGGGGCGAGGAGGGCCTCGACCTGGACTCTTCGCAGTACGAGGACGACGAGGCCTTCGCGCGCGCCCTGCAGGACGCCGGGGAGCGCGACGTCGCCGACAGGCTCATGGCGCTCGTTGGGATCGGTGATTGTGAGTGTACAGACTGATGTCGAAATTTTTTGACCGAATACTGATGTCGAAATTCAGTCACCTTTGATCTTCTTTTCCCCTTTTTGTATGATGCTTAATCTGCCGCTGTGTACCAGGGCGAGCCATGGAGCAGGATGTTGCTGGGGACGAGGAGGAGGATGAAGATGATGGGGTTCATACACAGGTGACATTTTCTATCTAATTCAGTTCACGAACAGGACGAATCAGATTATGTACCTTCGGATAGTTTCATAAAGAATTCCTAAGATTATTAGTAGTAATAATACAAATGCATGATTATTAGTGGTGATAATACAAACACATGAACTGCTTAAGCTAGTGAAATATCTTGCCACAACATTTCTTGGAGCTCAATACGGTGGTAGTACATCATAATCTTGAGGTGTTAGTCAGAATTTCCTTCTTGCTGGTAAGTAATACTCCTCCATTCCAAATTGTAAGTCGTTTTGGCTTTTATATATGCATAGCTTTTGTTATGTATCTAGATATACATTATGTATACAGATATAAAGTAAAAACTATGTATCTAAAAAAACACAACTTACAATTTGGAATGGAGGGTGTAGAATTTTAATCGAATGTACTAAAAACAGTTTAATTCGGAGTGAGAATTTTCATGTTACTATTGATGATTGGCTGTTGAGAAGCAATCATGTAACTGCTTCTATTTGAAATCTCATATCGAAAACAATTTCTTTTATTTGGAAATGGTTCTTATTTTGTTGATAATATTGATTGAAAATCTCCTTGGAATAAAGCTGGTATCTGATATTTAATTGTTATGTTATTTTGAACTTTAGGATGCATGGGAAGATGTTGATCCAGATGAATACTCTTATGAGGCAAGTTATCTTTATTGAAGAGAATAGGATGTTTTGTGCATTTTTTCTACTTTCCGTGTAAACCTGGAACCTGAAAGATGTGTTATTAAACATTCATGAATCTGGTGATTTCAGGAGCTAATTGCATTGGGTGAAGTTGTCGGTACAGAAAGCAAAGGCCTTGCTGCTGATACAATTGCTTCATTACCTTCGGTAACTTACCAGGCACAAGACAAGCAAGATGGCAACATGGAACAGTATGAACATCATTTTCTTATGCTTTGTCCCTAAAAATGCTATCTGTGTGCAGAGTGTTATCCTGATTTATCAAACTCATTTGCAGATGTGTTATTTGTCGTGTGGAGTTTGACGAAGGCGAGTCATTAGTTGCACTTCCTTGCAAACATCCCTACCATTCTGAGTGCATAAACCAGTGGCTGCAGTTAAACAAGGTATAAGCACCACCATATATTTTCGGAAATCCTTCTCTAAATATGATGTTTAAGCTTTCCCGGAAACATCGGATTTTGGAATGGTTTTACGATTCTATCCTTTTATTAAGATACACCATTTAGCATGATAAAACAATCAAGAACAGCGTTACTCTGAACGCAACTTGGACATACAATTGAATATGGATAAGTGTCTGAACTGCAGGAATTTGACATATATCCTTTGACCCTGTCAGGTATGCCCGATGTGCAGTGCTGAAGTTTCCACATCTGTGAACAATGTGAACAAGCAGGCATGACTATTCAATTGGAAGAAAATAGCGGCGGCTTGATATTTATCTGCCATTGGTGAAATAAAAGCAGCGGCAACTATTGAATTGTTCAGATAAGCAAGGGAAATGGATGGGTCTGTTTCCCTGGTTTCTTCAGTTCAACAGGCTTAGTCTCCCTGTACCTGCTGCTTATTTTTATGGCCACGCCGCTGGTTATTTATGCATTCCATTAGACGCTGATGATTCATTCGTGATTCATTGCTTGTAGATGTAAAATAACAATCATACCAATAGACAATAGCCATTGTTTTAATATTTGTCTGATCTTTTCATGTTTAAAATGGTGGCATTTTTGTTCCTTTTTTTTATTTTGATACGGGGCATTTTTGTTCCTGAAGATGTTGCTTGTGTTCAAATGAGTTGAGTTGACTCAGGTCACCACTGATGCGTAAGGGGCCTGATTGGATCGCATCCAAAATTTGTCATATGCCAAAGATTTGGTAAGCCATGATTTTGGTTAGTATTTGGTTTGCCTACCAAAACTTGCCTAACTCTAATATTTGGCTTGCTAAATCTATGGTAATTTTTTTGTCTAATTTTTGACTTGCCAAATCTTTGGCATAGCAAATTTTGGAAGTCAACCGAGCAGTGCCGATCGCCCATTGAAACGGGCAGGAATCCATGAGTCAAAAGAACAGTGGTATGCTGGGGTCTGTGGAATTATGTCTCTGCCGGATACTGAAATTGTTTAGTAGGTACCACAGAAGTTTCTGGAAAAATCTTACTGTATACACTAAATGGGTTCAAGCCTGTTTGGGGAGACTTACTGCAGGTACCACAGAAGTTTCTAGAAAAATCTTACAGTATACAGTAAATGGGCTTACAGTCAAGCCTGTTTGGGTAGACTTACTGTATATTATACAGTAAGATTAACTTTAGAACACGGGAATTTCATAAAAATTGTGTAGAAAATTTAAAACAAACACAGGAAATATAAGAACTCCTTCCTTCCAAATGGTGCATAAACGAGCTCACAGCCAAGTACTGATAAACCAGAGCAAAAAAAGATACAAACATATGGCCATCATTCAGTGCAGGGCCTGATGTGTTTAAAGAAGTGGAGGACACGGAAGAAATAGTAACATAGTTTACTCTACTCAAGCTGTTGAGTGTTCTGAACAAAATTCTGACAGCACAGACTTGACATTCAGATACAAGCAGCACATGACCATGGTGATGGGCAAACAACATCACAGGTAAATTAGCACAAAGCAACAGTTGTCAACATGATGCAATTGTTAAATTGCACAGCAGATACAAATTCAGGACCAATGATAACGCAAAGCTTATTTGCTGAAACTGAACAGCTTGGATATTTCAGAAGAGCAGAACAAAATAACAGGTTTGATTGAACTTATAAATTACCGTAAGTACTTCTGTCTGCGAAACATTTCCAAAGCATAGATCAGGACAGGTAAAAAGGCCTGCATCTTACTGAAAGTTTCTGAATTACAGGATGAAGTCAAATTCAATTTACCACAAATTGGACGTTCAAAAACATAATCAGCAGCATTAGAAATTTTACAAATCGTGTCTGTCCACAGTTCAGCAAATTTCATAAATAACCACAAAATCTAGAACAGCCATATCAAAACAGAACAATCTAAACAGAAACCACAATGGCTCTCGGCTGGCTGCATGCCTGTATTGATGTTCAACTTAAACAGAGTACCAACAGTGACATAACATATCACAAACAATATTCTAACCTGCAATCGTGGCTGCAAGATGGGTAGTTCAGGAAAGAAAGGGGTCCATCAGGAAACCTCAAATACACCCGAAAACATAAGAGCTACTACAGTCTACAGTACTACTGCTGCAATCACCACATGATTATCATAATAAAAGCACAGAGACAACGCAAATCATTAAGCAATCCATCAAATATGAACTGACAGCAAAGTCAACATAGTACAAAACTAACCTACAAAAAGGATAAGAATCAAGTAATGGTAATAAACCAAAAAAGATACAAAGATATGACCATCACGGCATCATACACCAAAAAAACTCATGCTGAGAAACACTGCAACTTGCGCAAGCGCTTCACAGCAGATGAAGGCTGCTTCTTCAAGACCTTTGCAGATTTTGCCTTTGGCTTAGCCTTCTTCAATGGCGTCGGTGCTATGGGGCTATGGGCCCTCGCCAAACGCCCTTTTTCAGTGCGCTTCCTCTTGGAGGAGCCGAAGGTGGCAGCCTCAAACACTGCGGTGGTAAAGGATTGTGAGGTTTCCAAACTAAATTATTCTTCATCGAGAACCTCACCTTCTTACCACTCTTCTCTCCATCCTGGGCAAGAAGATTACCTTCGCTGCCATCGTCCCCATCAGAAGCTTCAGACAGCTTATCAGCAGATCTTGAACGCTTCCTCTTTGTTGCGACTTTCTCACTAACGGCTGTCACTGGTGAAGCGCTTGAGCTGCTGCCCCCTTTGGCCATACCAGCTTCTGCTGCAGCCATCTCAAACTGCTTCTGCAGATTGGACTTTAATGCCTCATCAAATGTAATGCCATCAATACCATCACCCATCGTACTCTTCTCAGTGGCGTTCCCTTGATCGACAACCTCCACCTTCCTCTTTTTCTTCTTCTTCTCTTTCTTCTTCTTGTTTTGCTTTACCTTCTTCTCAGGCTTCAAAACCTTGGCCTCCTCCATCTCACCTTCAGCCAATGCAGCCTTCTTGGCTTTCTTCTTCTTCTTTTGTGCCTTTTCCTCGCCCGCATTTGGCGGCACTGGCACCTCGGCACCTCGGTAGCCTCAGACTTCGGCACAGGGATCTCAAGACCAGATCGCTGCAAACCCTTCTCAATCTTCACAAATGCATCCCTCAACCCAAAGACCACCTTCCGTTCGATTGCACCGTCTCTGCCTTTGCCCTTTGCACCAATATCCAGGAACCTCTTACTGAATCCAAACAGCAATCCAACTTTCCCGAGCTTCTCCTCGGCACTACCCTTCTCCACCTCCTCACCTTTCCTCACCATCTCAAGGCAAGCAACCGACTGCCGCTCTCCAGTAACCACCACCCGATCCGTCGACTTCTCCAACACAGGGAAGAACGGAGCCAGCAAGGCGTCCATCGTCTCCAGGCTCACGGGGAGCACAGCACAGGCAAGAGCTCGTAGTACACATACATACTCGTGGGAGTCTTTGATCTACAGAACAGGACCCAGCATATCACTGCTGCGCGCGACACACGAGTTGCCATACATACTCGGCGCGGATCCTTTCCCACGCAGTTCCTGTGTGTACACGCTCGGAAGCGGCTTTTGCTCTGCATGGACAAAAGCCAACTCTTGGCGTGTGGTACGGTGCCGTGGTCGGCGGCGAACCGTCGGTTACCAGCAGCACCAAATTTCACCGGACCAGGGTGGCGGTGGATGTGGACATTGCAAGTCCGCCCGTCTGGCACGAAGCACCGGCCGTAGCGCAGGACTGCAGCGGAAAGCGGATGTCAATGGCTTGACAGCGAGGTACAGTGGTAGTCAAAACGCCGTTGCTCTCCTCAAGCCGCGCAAGAGTCAAGAACCGACCAGTCAGTCCCAACTCACAAGTCTCAACCGTCGTGCTGCGACAAGAGGCGAACGCAAACACAGGTCCGCCGGGCGCCAACGGGGCAGCCGGGCGCCAACGGGGCAAACCCGCAGGAATCCGAATCAAAACACAGGTGCTCCCATCAATCAGAATCAGGGGGGCCAACTGGGCGGACGAGAAATCCGCGGGCGCCGGACAGCGACGCGCCCCCAGGTCCGGGTGCGCCGCCCACCGTGGCGCGGGCGTGTCCCCCAAGCACAGGACGACGCTGACGCGCACCCACCTCCTCTATTCTTATCTCCAACCTGTCGAAAATCAGGTATAAGACGCGCGGGCGACCACGGACGCCAACCGCCTGTGACATCTTCCCCCATTCCTGTGTCCTCAGATCTTTGGATTCTCCGTCCCTCCGTCTAATGATCTCTGCGCCTCTGCGGGTGTCGGCGCCGAAGGCTGCCGTCGGGGGCTCGTTGTTCCTGTTCGGCGGCGCGTCCTCCGTCGAGTCCAAGTCCAAGCCCAGCAAGACCAAGATCCGGTGCGCCGCGGCGCCGGCGGTGGGGAGAGGGGGCCGCCGCCGCCGCCACGCTGTACGAGGTGCTGGGCCTGCGCGCCGGCGCGACGGGCCGGGAGATCAAGGCCGCGTACCGCCGCCTGGCGCGGGAGCGGCACCCGGACGTGGCGCCCGCGCCCGGCGCCGCCGCGGAGTTCGTCAGGCTCCACGACGCCTACGCCACGCTCTCCGACCCGGACACCCGCGCGCGCTACGACCGCGGCGCCGTGGCCGCGGTGGCCGTGGCGCAGCGACCTTGGAGCGGCGGCGGCGTCTACGGCCGGCCCCGCCACACATGGGAGACGGACCAGTGCTGGTAGCAGAGACACGGGCCCGAGCCCCCACGCTGTTCTTGTCTGTCTGTAGAGTTGTTAGACCTTCCCTGCCGCCAGCCATGCGGCCATGGCGGCTCACCTTGGATTTTTTTTTTTTTGTATTGGTGGCCATCCATGTAGCGTGATTTCGTTTTCCTTCTTCTACCTGCACTTGACCTTACTTGGCGAGAGGTTTGAAGGAAGTAGCCCTGCCTCTGTTAAATCTACTCCTAATATGTCTGTGCGGTTCCAAATTTCCGGCGACCCTTTTCATTCTCTGGATGGCCAAAAGGGTTCAGGAAATGTCGTGCTTCAGTCTCGTTCATCCGATGCCAGCGAGCTCGAAGGCACGAACGTTGACCGCAAGTGCAAGAAGAGCGTGAATGTTCCAGGCCAAGCCTAGCAAGTTGGAAGTTGGAACTAGGAGTGGCGCCTGGCTGTGCGCTTTGCCTCTTGTCCGAAAGGTCAAGCATGCCAATTGGCAATGGCAAGCGAGAGCTGAGCTTCCCCATCATCTCACACCTTAGAGCTATCTTCGACAACAACATCTAAAATAAGACATTTGTCTTTTAAATAGCGCTACAGATAAAAGATTTAATACATATTCGGTATTTTCTTCAACAACGAGATTTAAAAGAGAATTATTTCTGTAAATAGATTTTGTAAATGAATTTTTAGGAGAGACGATGTCCATATTTAGGTTGTACCTCACAGATAACCAAAATAGATTTTTCATATAAATACTCTATTAAAAATTAATTTTAAGTCTCTTGCTATTTATTTTAGATTTAGATGTCTGTATATAGACAGTCTTACGTGACGTAAAACTCTCGTTTTCATCACGTTGGCCTGACACATGGTTTCAGGCTTTCAGCACTCAGCAGTGTTGGACTCACGTTGGATGCCTGAGCAGTCGTTCAACAAGCTGGCTGGTTTTTAGAAGTCATCGGCCCTGTTCGCTGCGAGGAAGCTGGAGGAATCTAAAGAAATTTAGATGAATTTGGAGGAATTTGTGAAGAAAAATCTGTTCCGAATAAAAAAAACGGATCAAACCGGATTTAAAGGCACGTGAACGGGAGACTCCTTGGTTGTAAGCCAATTTTTTGCGTTCAAAAGATTTGATGTGCAATTGGCTTGGTGTCCAAACATTGACAATACCTTCTAAAATTTTGGCAAAATAATATTTTTATCTCTTGTTCGTAGCAAACCAAGTCCTGCCTTACCAAAATATTGATTTACCTTAATATTTTTTTTTTGAAATTCGGCTCTGGCCTTTTAATTAACTTCCAGCCCAGCTGAAACGCGGGCAATATGGCTAGTTACAAGAACAGGAATGGGATACTCCCAAATTTCCTCCCATCCTGGAATTTGATTCAAACCTAGAGCTGCTACCTCGTGCGTAGACGAGTTACAAAGCCTTGAAGCATGAAAACTATCAAACTGGATAAAATGTTCCCTTACTAACGAGCGGACATCCTTGAAGATGACACCCGAAGGAGCTTGGTCCATCTCCGAGGAAAGCACAGCCTTCTGGAGCAGCAGCGTGTCAGTCTCCAAAATTACACGAGAAATAACATGATTCATAGCCGTTTCAAGAGCCTTCCAACATGTAACCGCTTCCGCCATTAAAGCATCATTCACTTCATTTAGATGACTGGCACCTGCAAGCACAGGGTCCCCAGTAGAATCACGGACAATGAAGCCCCAGCCCCCCTGCTTAGTTGCCTGAACAAATGCACCATCAGTGTTGATTTTCAGCACACCATCAGGAGGAGGCAGCCAGGAAGTCGTCCTTCTATTTGATCTGTTCGCTTGGATTTTCGGCTCCCGTTGGACTGCATTCGCTAGATAACACATTGCTCTAGTCACTACTGAAATTGGTTCCGGATTTTCCCCCGCATTCACTTTATTACGGGCTGTCCACCATCTCCATAGCAAGATTAGAATTAAGTTGCACTTGTCTTCTGGCATTTGTAGAACTCTCTCAACCATATCACGGGCAGATTGCATTTGTAAGAGCTCACATCTTTCATTTTCTAGATTCAGCTCTTGCCAACATTTACTGACAGCTTTCGATGTTAGAAAGCAATGCCCCCATCTTCATCAAATCGCTTACACACTGGGCAGATAGTATCTGTTGGCACACTCCTTCTTCGTATATTCATCTTCAGAGCCAAACTGTTGTGAGATAAACGCCAGACAAATTGTTTTACCTTAGGTGGGTAGGTCAGCTTCCACATCTTCTTCCACTTGAAGCTAATCGGGCTATCAGAGCTTGAACCCGAGGACTCCGCCGTTGTCGTCATGCATCACGTTCTCGCTGGTCATCCAGTACATGATAAGCCGATCGAACTGAAAAGATGCCCTTTGAATCAAAATGCCATGCCACATAGTCATCATGACCCTCCCTCACAGGAATCAACATGATTTCCTTCACGTCCTCCTCCCAAAAAATATAATTAAGCAGCTGCACATCCTAACTGCCTGTGACAGGGTCAATAAGCTCTGAAACTTTAAACAACTCTTCGCAGACAGCCGAAAGGGTTTGTCCAGGCAAGTGTGAAGACGCAAGGCCACCTCCTAGATTGCACCGCGGAGTCGGTATTGGTTGTTTTTCATTTATGTAATTTCGAAACGTGAGTTCTCTTGCTAGGATGGTTCAGCTACGGCTGTTTTGTCAACCTCCTTCGGCGCTCGATAGATGCGCACTGTTTGTAAGTTTAAACTCTTTTTCTTAATACAATGATACGCAAATCTTTTGCGTATTCAAAAAAAAAACTTTAGACAAAAGTGTTGCCCCTCTTGTTGTAATAAGCTGACGTATAACACCTCTCGGTAACCAGGGATCCTCCCAAATCCGAATCTGCTCCCCATCTCTAACTCTCCAAATAACACCATTCCTCAACGTTTTGATTCCTCGGACTATGCTTCTCCATGAGTAGGATATACCTGGACCTTCACCAGCCTCCATAAGTCTCCCATTCGGACGATACTTAGCCATCAATAGCTGGGCACATAGAGAATCAGGAATCGTCACCAATCTCCAAGCCTGTCCAGCCAACATAGCAAGGTTAAATGGATGGAGGTCACGGTACCCCAATCCTCCCTTCTCCTTTCGGCTACACAATGTGTCCCATGAGAGCCCATGCATTTTATTCTCTTTGTATTGCTGGGCCCACCAGAACCGATTGATCATTTTATTGATGTCATCGCACAGGGATTTAGTAAGGTCAAAACATGACATCGCATCTAATATTGGTATACCTATATTTTAGCTTGTCTTAAAATTGGCATAGCAAAGATTGGTGTTCAACCAATCCGGCTTGCAGTTGCGGCTTGGTAGCAGGTGATGTTAGATAGGCTTAGAAGAAGTTACTAGGCTCTACGTTGGGCCAACAATAGACGCAGCGGATTAGCCCGCTAAATCATATGACTCCTCCTTCGCTCCGCACCACACGTGGCACGCCCAGCTCACCCTTTCCCTGCCGCCGGCGCCGCTCCTTTCCAAAAAACACCCAACCTAGCTTTTTTAGTTAAATGCATGAGTGTAGGGTTGAGATGGCGGACTAGAGGGGGGTGAATAGTCATTTCTAAAATTAATCGTGTCGGCTAACCGTAACAAACGCGGAATTAAAACTATCGGTCTAGCCAAGACTACACCCCTCTATCTAAGTCATCAAGCACCTTAAATGGATCCTAATAAGGCAACAAAGGTGCCGGGCTAGCTAGAGCTCACCTAACCTATTCTAGGAGCAAGATCACATAAACCTATGCCACTAGTACTTCAAGTACGGGGAAGCTCCTACACAACTAGTAAGCAAAAGCACAAAACTTCTAAGCTCACTAGCAATGCTCAATAACAAGACAACTAATGCCAAATTAGAGAGCGCAAATTATTTAGCTACACAAACTAAGCAATGTGACTAACAAGGTTACCAAAACCAAATTAGCCACGTAAGGTAGCTACTTATATGCTAAACAAGTAAGAAGGTAACTAGCGAGCTACACAAGCTAACTAATTACAAGAGCAACTACACAAGCGCAGTGTATAAGAAAGTAATTGCAAGCTTGTGTAAAGGGGATGCAAACCAATAGAAAGACAATGATGACACGGTGATTTTATCCTGAGGTTCACGTGCTTACCAACACGCTAGTCCCCGTTATGTCGATCATTCAATTGGTGATTCGGCGGCTAATTGACATCTCCTGCCAAGCCCACACATTGGGCACCGCAAGAACCTACCCCGAAAGTGAGGGTAGCTCAATGACACGCTCTATTAGAGTTGCTCTTCATGGTTCTCGCGGGGCGAGCACAACACCCCTCACAATCACTTCTCCGGAGCACCGCACAAGCTTCTTGCGTGCTTCGATGGAGACCACCATCAAGCCGTCTAGGAGGTGGCAACCTCCAAGAGTAACAAGCACCATCGGCTTGCAACACAATCACCTAGTGCCACTCGATGCAATCTCACGATGCAATCGCACTAGAATCACTCACTCACTCGATCGGATGATCACTACAAGCACAAGTGAGTTAGAGGGCTCCCAAGCACACCCACACAAAGCAACCAAGGCTTAAGGGTGCTCAGCAACCGGCCATGGCTGGCCAACACTTGGTTTTATAGCCCCCACGAGAAAAGAGTCGTTGTACCCCTTCACTAGGCACAACACGCAGCAACCGGACACTCAGGTCCAATCGACCAGACGTGCCAGGCCCTGCGTTCGATCACTCCTGGCCATCCATGTGTCCCTGCCATTCAATGTCGCGCATTCGATCCCAATGATCGGCAGCTGCACGCCAACGGTCAAGTGATGACCGGACACGTCGAGCCCAGACCTGACGCTGTCATGCTGCGACAGATCACGCGTTGCAAGCACTCGGCTAGCAACTGACCGGACGCGCCACCACGACATGACCTGACGCTCCACCGCCAGAGTCTGGTTGTTTCCAGAGAGCTCTCCGAGCCTCTATTTTGAGATTGGACGTGTCAGGTGAGTCACTATCGGACGCACCACCTGAGTCTGATCCTTCACAATCGGCCACGTGTTAACGCCACGCCCGCGCCACTACGTCAGCGTACGTCACCACC